TATAAAGGAAGGTGTAGGATTTTCCCCTTAAAACGATCTTGCCTGCCTTTACATTGAGTTTTGATGCTCTTTAATCATTCTACCCAAAATTTTAATTTTGGATCAGTTCACTGAGCTGAACTCTTTTAGAAGATTTCTGCTGAATAACAGATGTTTCTGAAACGAGATTAGAGAAAACTCACACAGGTTCATCGCAATCCTCTCTTTCTTTTAGAACACTTCCCTGCAACATGCTAATGCCTGTGTGCTTTGAAATCCCGCACTACAAAAAGGAGATGAAAATGGGGAGATGGTGAGCAGGAGGGTCCACGCATGAGCCTGCCACTGGGGTGATGTTGCTTACATTTGGCTCCCTGCAAAGCTCTGCTCACACATGTTCAATCAGAAACTCGACGAAGTTTGGTAGCTAAATTCTCTGAAGATTTCTAACACACTTGGAATCTTTCAAGTCTGCAGGAAGCAAGCAGAACTTCCTCAGGAACTGTAAAAAAATTTTGGTTTGGATGACAAAGATTACATGCTTCTGATGAAAGAATAAGAAATCCTGCAATGAATGAGCAGCTCAAGCAGAAGCTGAACCAAAGCAGAACTTCCTTTTAATGTCCAAAAGCTATCAGCACACCAAGCTTCAGCACACTGAAGTCCAGAAACAGCTGTCTGTCTCTTCCTTCCAAAATCATCATGTACTGTATTTATTTAATAAGAAATACATCCTATTATTTGGTTTCATCTTACTATGAGATGCATACATGAGTATCTGAAGCCATTCTGATGAGTTACACCAAACAGCATTTATTATGGTATCATTTCTCCTCACAGAAACTGAGCTTTTGCAACAAAGCCATCTGTCCTGCTCTCACTGTTTTGCTCTGCTGACTGTGTGAAGAACGCTGGTTTCACCTGGACCAGACATAGACAGGCAATTGCCTCTGCAGCCAACAGCAAACATGACTGATGTCTTCATCGGCCTGTATTTCCCCAAGCCTTGGTGAAAGAGCTGGTCCCTTTTTAACAGCATCCATGCAGAGTAGTTTGCATGCCCAACTTTCAGGTGTGTTTTTAAGCAGACCATTCCATGCTAGGACTGATTTTGTTTCTGCTGAATCAAGGACAAAGCTCTACTCTACTCTGACAGAGGCGGAAGTACCCTGTGAATCTCTAATTATCCACAGCTTTTTCTAAGTCATTTATGAAACTATTAATTTTGCAGTTGTTCCCACAAAGCAGGGATAATTCCATGTCTTTTTAGTTTATGAGGCACACTGGAAGATGCTGCAGAATGTTTAGCAGGCAATTTGTGCTGTCATAACAGATCTTTGGCTTGGTTTTTGAATCAGAAAAGTCTGCCTTGGTATGGAATAGTATGCAAAACCAAACTGTCTTGAATCTATTCAAATATGTAGGGAGTTTATTAAAAACTCCATAATTCTGAAGTAAGAGATGCAATTTTGTTGTGATCTGCACAATGCAAAAAACAGGAAATATATAATATGGGACAGGGCTATATTCTCTTTTTTTTTTTTTTAATAGCAGGAAATTGGACTGTACTTTAATATTTACCCTCAGTTTATAGAAGAAGATTGTGTATTATTCTGGTTTTTAAAATATGACAATACAATTTAGCTTTATCAGGACTACCAACAGTTCTAGAAAGAAATATCATGGCATTGCATTCTATATTTAATCATTTATTTTGATTCACAAAAAGAACTTCTCTCAGGATGCTCTTGATAATTAAAAAAATTACAGCAATTACAGCTCAATAAATACTTCAGCTTCATCTTCTTTAGTCAACACATTACTGATAAAGGGAAAAAATAAATAGGGAAGTGTTCCTCCAGTCTTTCTACATTTGGAATTAGGACTGTAGCAACCAACATGGCCACTCTGGCAGATTCACAGGGTCAAAAGCTCAGAGGGATGGATAAATAACTAGAGCACTTTGCATCCATTCTTTGCCATAGATTTCTCACATGCCCTTGGGAAAAGGCTGAGATGCTACCTCACACAGTCCTAGCCATGTAAATAAAGATTTAGTTTATCACCTGAGTCACTCTGCCTGCCTTTACTCTGCCCTGTGGCAGAGCAGATATTGCTTCCCCAGATCCAAAGGCACTATGGACATCCAATGGCACAGAGACACTCTAGTTAGTATCTTTGTAGCTTTCACACCAGTTTTAGCACAACTGACGCTGAGCCACTGTGCTAAAGATGAGTTGGATGCAGAAGTATCCTTTATGGGCTACTAAATACCACAGCACATCCTTCTATTGAGATCTGAAAGGAAGTAGGGATTCATTTCCGCCACTTGCCCAAAAAGGGGTGGTATGAATCCCTCCTCTGAGGTGCCGCTTTCTTTGGTGCAAGCTAAGAAGTTTCCCCAGGCTGTTGAGCACTGGGAGCAAAAGCACGGATGCCACAGTGCCCTGCACAGAAGCAGTGCTGCCTGGAAGCAGACGCAGACAGCTGCAAGTAACAAGCTAAGGAGTTGCATTCAAGAATGTTAGCTAAAACTCTGTCTGGAGTCAAGCTATGGCACAGATGCTTTGTGTACTGATTATTGAGAGGTCATTATATGGAAATAATACCTCTAATATCATGTTATATCTTAACAAGTTCTGATGGTGAGTCCTTTCGTGCCCATACACAAGGGATATGACATTCAACTGCATCTGCTGCCTCTCCACATTCCCTTGTAGTGCAGAGACCTTCGAGGACTTTGGGATATAAAAATTGTTAATAGGCGAAGACTGACAACTTAGATTGTTATCAGCAGCTTGATAAGCTTACAATTCTATCTTCTGCTCCGTGGGGAATTTACTGGCAAATTCCTCACTTCTCCAACAGTGCCTAGGGAAGGTGCAAGGAGGAGGCTCAAGAGGTGCAACTGAAGCAGCCTGGAAGATGCTGAAGGAATCTTTCTCTTCTCCTGGGCAAGAACCACCTGCCCCAGAGAATGGGTGTGGTGGATAGACCTTGGCTGGATGTCAGGTGGCCACCAAGCTGCTCTATCATTCCCCTTCCTAGCCAGATAGGGGAGAGAGAATAAGATGGAAAATGACTTGTAGGTTGAGGTAAGGCAGTTCATTAAAGCAAAAGTGAAAGTTTGTGCATGCACAAGCAATGAGAAAAAAAAAGGTTTACTCTCCACTTCCCATGAGCAAGTGGTCTTCAGCCACTTCCCGGGAAGCAGGGCTTCCGCACACATAGCAGTTGCTCTGGAAGGCAAACACTGAAAATAACAAAAGCCTCCCCCTTGCTCCTCCTTTCCTTAACTTTTATGTCTGAGCTGATGTCATATGGTGTGGAATATGGGTCAGCTGGCATAGCCGTGCCCCCTCCCAGGATCTTGCCCACCTGCAGCCTACTGATGGATGGAATGTTGGAGAGACAGTGCTGGTGCTGTGCCAGCATTGCTCAGCAGTAGCCAAAACACTGATGCGCTATCAACACCTTTCTAGCTAACAATGCAAAGCACAGCACTGTGGGAGCTGCTATGGCGAAATGAACTCTACCTCAGCCAGATCCAATGTAAAAATGGCTTTTGGTCTCAGTGGATGGAAAGAAAACATGTAAAAACTATTGAAGGTCACAGATCTGGCTGAGTTAATATTTGAGCCTGGTAAGTATTTGAGCCTCAAAGTGATTGCCCAGCAGAGGGCTTAAGCAGGCCACTAAAGGAAAGGACTCCTAAAAACTACACTGGGTGGATATAGCAAGGACAAAGCTCTACACGTGCAACATGAGTATGGTGGTCAATATATAACAAAATATTTAAATAAATTCTGTAAATTAATGCACTCTGAGATGACAGTGGAATTGCATAATTGCAAATAAAACTGATAAAGCAAATCAGTTTTTTAACCTCAATCTTTTTAAACTGTGAACATATTGAAGGACACTGGGTAGACAAAATGCATTAAGTCCAGAAATCCTTCCTCAAAGAGATGTCTGCAGAAAACACAGTTTGAAAATATAGCAAGGCCAATAAATTTGAGGATCAGGCCTCCTCTGCCAGGGCCCAACTGCTCACTTGGAGAGCATCACAGGCACGAAGAAGACTGGAAACTGACTGTTAAAACCATATAACCACTTTATATATATATATATAAAATATATATTATATATATACATATATAACCATAACTTTGTGTTACTAGGAACTTCAGTTTTCCATTACTGAAGTGCTTAAGAGAATATATAAACATCAAGAAATTGTAGTCAGCAAAATAATCTGTACTTTGCCCTTTTCTTTGTTGCTGTCACATAATGACTTGGGCTTTTGATGAGGCAGTACGTTTTTATGACATTTCCTAGTATCCGGGGAAAGTTTAACACTACTAGGGCCTATAGAAATGTTTCCTTTCTGTTTTGAAGAACCGGAGATTTGACCGGATGGAAGGAGCTTAACATGTACCTGTGATGAGGCAGGAATTTTGCCACTGCGGCCACTACTTGACTCTGCTTTTTCCAAAATACTTACTATTGTTGATTTTGATGAAGATTTTTTTCACGTGGGTGAGCTGGATGTGGTGTTAAGCTGCTGAAAAAACCCTTATGGAGAGCTGGGGAGTTGGAGCTCGGGCTGTAAGAGGGAGCTGAGAGAAAGCTTGGTGGTGACAACGTGGTGGCACAAAGTTGCGGGAAGGGCCACAGAGGCAGGAAGGTTCCTCACTATGTCTTCTCTCGTCTCTCACCTATGCTTCAAAATGCAGATAAAACATATTTAAGCATATGAAGCTTGTGCTTAGTGGACTAACTCGCTCGTGCCACGTTCCATCCTGGTATAAAGGGCATAGTTTGTTCATATGGCGGTGAAGACTACTATTTGCAACTGCATTTCTTGGTAACGTTTTAAACATTATCTGCAAAACGCAGGCTCCGAGTGCACCGGCAGCATTTCCCACCACCGTTGTGGCAGAAACACAACACACCCCCAGGCGGCCCGGCCCGGCCCCTCGCCCCGCCCCGGTGCGGCCGTCCCGAGCCCGGCCGGGCCGCGTTCCCGCCGCCATCGCCATGGCCGCGCCGGGCGCCGCGCGGCGCCTCTACCGCCGCCTCCTGCAGCTGCACCGGGCGCTGCCGCCCGCCCTGCGCGACCTGGGAGACCGCTACGTCAAGGAGGAGTTCCGGAGGCACAGGGCGGCCGGGCCCGCCGAGGCCCAGCGCTTCCTGCGGGAATGGGAGGCAAGTGCCCGCCGCCCCGCGGGGGAAGGACAGGGTGCCCCCCGGACCGGGAGCGGCGGGGCCCGGCGGGGCGCAGGGGGGGCCCGGCAAGCTCAGGGGCCCCGGGCTGTTCAGAGGTTGGACTCGATGATCCCAGAGATCTTTTCCAACCTGATTGATTCTTTTTCTTTGGGCACGCTACCCTGAAGGGCGAACTCCTTTCGGAGCTACAGAATTCCTTGAATTTCACGTTTTTATCTTTTACAGTTCCCATTTCCTTGCCTCAAATGTGTGTCATCATAGCCATGCTCACACAGGTGTATGCCACAGAATGACAACAATTATATAACGAACTATATATACAGACACAAAAATATATACACAGAATTATCTTTATTATTTTAAATTAATTTTAATTTAGTTTTATTTATTTTATTATTTTTATTGTAATCATCATCATTGTATATTGCACTATATAACAATACATTATATAGATATATAATATATAAATATAAATATATATTTGTAACTACATATATAAATATATAAATATATATTTATATATTAATATATTATATATAATCTATTAATATATTAATTAATATATTAATATATCAATATATATTAATATTTATATATAAATATATAAATATAAATATATATTTATAACTACATACGTAGCTAATTGTATAGTTATAATTAGCTAAATACGTAGGTGTAACTGGCTTTCACATGATCTTGTATTTTATTTCTGAGTGACATTTTTTAAGTGTTTCCTAACAAAACAGATCTTATGTGAACTTATTGCTTCTCTGCTGAACACTGCTTCCCCTTAACTTAGTGCCTGGTTTCACCAAGGATGGAAAAGCAGATCACTCTGAAGTGATGAGGTTGTAACAATTTTCACAAGCAGCAGAGGAAGGAGACCCATAAGGTGCTTTCCCCAAATGCCTGAACTCCAGCAGATGCTAGAGTATTAATAGACACCAAAAAACCTACATGGCAGACAAATGTATAGACACTTCACACAGAAGAAACTTTGATTAAAACAAGAACTCAGCTGCAAGAGATGGATCTGTAGACAAGCTTCCCATTAATTTTCATGATCATTGAACTACTGGTTTGGGAGTATTTTTGAATCTCAAAACTGTTTTCCTTTCTGTGAAAAAAAATTGTATTCTGCTTTGCCACAGAAGCTGGTTAGCACAGGTAGCGTGCATTGCCTCCCAATTTACCAAGTGAAGGCTCTAGCTGAAATCTTGTGGAGTAAAGCAAAATGGGCCAGGGCATCAGGAACCAGCAGGGAGAATGCTGCCTGGTATTCTCTTCACAGGAGAGGAATAAGTGTATTTTAATTGCATCTTGCCAACTGATAGATCCTCAAATCAGGGAAATTTGTATCTACCTCTCAAATGCCTGATGCTATTGTAGTTCTCAATTGCCGTTTACTTGATATTGCTGAAATGTTTCCGCATCGTTGGTTCCAGTTTTAAGATGAGCTAAAAAGACAAGTTACAGGTTACTATTTTCAGTGCTAAAATCTTCCTTAAAATAGTTTTAGAAAAAGAAGTAAATGTTTACATTGAAATACCTTTAACCATTTCTGTGAAGTAAACAGTGAAAATATTTCTCAGTTTTAAAATGTTTCAAAAGTAGATTATAGGGGAAACTGTGACAAAAATCAGACTATGAGGAACAGAAGTTGAATTTTGAAACCTGACATTTAGTGCTATTAGGTATGATATATTCAAGGAAAGGAAACTAATTTAATAACTGTTTTGAGTGTGTGAGTATAAAGAACTTTGCAAATATGTCTGTCTTCTAACAAGATGCTGGGAGATATTAGCACATAGTTAGCGTGTCTCTTCTCATCTTTAATTTTTGTTTCGTTCTGGGATTTTTTCCTCCCCCAAATGATAATCTTTTTCAAGGGTGAAATTTAAATCAGACTTTGACTTTTTTGACCCGTGAGACTTGCTTTGCATCTTATGCTATGCTGTGGTTCCCAGTCCCTTGAAGACTTGAACTAGATAATTGAGGAAGGTGGATTAGGTAACTGTAGACTCTAATTAGGCTCTAATTCATATTGGAGTCCTCTGTCCTGGTTTTGGCTGGGATAGAGTTAATTGTCTTAGTAGCTTGTACGTGCTGTGTTTTGGATTTAATATGAGAATAATGTTGATAACACACTGTTTCAGTTGTTCCGAAGTGCTTACTCTAAATCAAGGACTTTTCAGATTCCCGTGCTCTGCCAGTGAAGAGGTCCACAGGAAGCTGGGAGGGAGAATAGCCAGGACAGCTGACCTGAACTGCCCAGAGGGATATTCCATACCACAGAACATCATGTTCAGTATATAAACTGGGGGGAGTTGGCTGGACAGAGCCATTTGCTGCTTGGGGATGGTTTGGCCTTTGGTCAGCTGGTGGTGAACAGTTGTACTGTGCATCACTTGCTTCTCTTGGGTTTTATTGTTTGCCCCCTGGGCAGCAGGACACACTTCTGACCAGAAGTAGTCTGGAAGCTTTAGGACAGTTCCTGCAGAGCCTTGTGAGTCTTGCAGAGAGACTTACAAAGCATCCAGTTCTTGAAGGGCACAAGAGTTGCAGTTAGCAGTGAATGAATCAGTGATATGCTACTTCTTTATGTGCATGAACCATAATTGTACTCCTTGCCTCCTTATCTATATTTATTAAACCAAACAAAAACCAAACCAAACAAAAAAATCCACCTAAACAAATCCCTGCAACATTAATACAAAATGATTTTTTGAATTTCCTGTTAAGTTTATTTAAGAAAAAAACAAAGCAAAGTTACAGCTCTTTTAACAGTATTTTGACATGTTTCATGTCAGGCACTTCCCAATTTTCTTGTTCATTAGGCTGAGCATATACCTTGCTGTATGCACTTTAGTGTTGTCAATATTCAGCATGCATCTGGAAATATTCTTTCCTCGTGTCTTCTATTGCATGCAGGGCATCTGGTACAGAGTAGTCTCATGTTACAGAAAATTAGTACTCATAATTTTATATTAAAATTGTATATCTGAATGTATATTCATCAGAGGATAAAGATTATGGATATGATGATTGCATCGATGTTTGCTGACTTTGAATAAGGACTTCAATATGAAATGTTGTACCAGTTCGTTAGGATACATGCCTGGAATAAAGACAAGTACAACAGTCAAACACTACAAAATCTTTTATTGCACAATGGGCCTTACAGTGAACTTGTGCAGTAACATTACATTGTACAATACTCTGGCTGGTTGCACATGCTAATCTAATCACTTTTTCACCCCTCTATGCTCCATTGATCATCTAAATCAGAAGTACTCTCCTTACAAATGTAACCTTAGTAAGCCATCCCAAATGCTTTTGAATGACAATTTTCAAGGATGGCTTATTTTAACATGAAACTACTTGGCTGTTGTTAAAACCCTTCAGGATTTTTTTTGGGTAGTCAGACCTTCTGGGTGTGCTTGAATATACTAGTTCATGGTCTGTGGTGTGCTTTCTTTCCTCCAATTTGATTCATATTTGCTAGTTATTTAGAAAACAGGCCTGTTCTTGTAATCACATTATGCTTGCCTCAAATGATTTTTTTGCTCCCTTGGTATTTAAATCGTGCTGATTGAAGGGAACTGGGCATGTTGATTTCAGTTTGTAGCAAAGTGGAGGTTGGTCTCTTCTCCCGGGCAGCTGGTGACAGGACGAGAGAACGTAGCCTCAAGCTGTACCAGGGGATGTTCAGATAGCACATCAGGAAGAATTTTGTCACAAAAAAGGCTGTTAAATACTGGAACAGACTTCCCAGGAAGGTGGTGGAGTCACTGTCCCTGGAAGTGTTCAAGAAATGACTGGACCTAGCACTTAGTACCATGATCTGGTTGACAAGGTGTTGTTTGGTCAAAGGTTGGATTTGATGATTTTGGAGGTCTTTTCCCATTCAAATGGTTCTCGTGATTGTTTCTCACAAGCTGAACAAGTTTCCTTTATTTCCTGTGAAACATGGTGAAGAAACTGGAGGGAGATTTCTAAATTAGCTTTAAAAAGAAAGGGGGGGAAAAAGAGGCAAAAAGCTCCCGAATGATATTGCCTTAGTATGTGAATGATTTGTGTAATTTTCTTGTAAAGGAGATGAGAAGGGATTTGCTCGTTTAGAATACATGGGAATTGAGGGCTTTGGTGTTAGAACCCAACCGCATAGATGGCTAGTGTAGTTTTATAGGAAACCTAAACTGTCCTGCTTGCATTTACAAAATAGGGAAACTATCATTTGAATATTCTTGGAGGAGTTCTTAATATCTGAATACAACTGACATCTGAATAAAGTCTGAATACAACTGATAATGGACTGCAAGTCCATGTACACTTTTATATAAAACTAGAACAATATAAATAGGGATTTTTTCATTGGTATTAGATCAACGTCTTGAAACCTTAAGGAAAATATTGAAGTGGAGTACAAAGAAAGTAAGCTTTGTTGTTCAGGAATTACGCTTGTTCAGATAGATTCAAATCAAGTATATAAATTATTAATATATGTTCCTATCTATTTTCTAAATATTTAATATTTTAATTAAAATAATTGGTACTCATTCACAGGAGACTGCTGATATAATTAGATTGATAGTGATTATTACTTTGGAACGCTATTGAATTAATGTTGACTGGTATGATAAGTCAATTAGTCAAACAGTCTTCTAAAACATGTGGTAGCTGATGAGAATGCTTACTTAAGACAGGTAATATTAAAATAGTATTGATCAGTTTATTCCGGGTTACAATAAGTAGAACATTCAGCTAAGTGATTTCAATAACCATTTGTTTCACATGTAAGCTAATTCCTCTTTTAATTTTGAAAATGACCATTTGATACCTGGCTTTTTTATAAAATCTGACCTGTAGATGAGAAGGCCTGGAGTACCTGAAGATGAGCAAAATCATTCTGCAGAGTTATGTGACATCTTCTCACATCTGAATAAACTGCCTCTGAAATGCTTTGGCCACTCATGACTCTGAAAACCTTTTAATAAGCTTTCAAATGAACTGAGACTGATTTGAGAGCTGCCATCTGCTGTTGTATACTTGAAAGATGACATTTCTTTTCATTCCTCATAACAAATCTAGGCATTATATTGGTAAAATTAAGATAAATCAGTATCTCTATATCTGGGGAACCTGGTCATGTAGCCTCTCAAGAATGACTAATTTTTTTGAATCAGTGTAATATTTGGTGTGATACAAATAATCGTCTTTCATCAAATTTGTTTTCAGTTACCCAGGTCCCGGTACTTAGTTTGCTGGGATGATTGTGGCATGCTGTCATGATACTTCTCAGGACATAGTGTCCTGACCTTTTTCTGCTTGTGAGTGGATAGACTTACAGAACTTTTTGCTTCTCAATTCTTTGGGCTAATATGATCTTCCCTCCCCTTTGTTTTTAAGCTTCTAACACTGAAAAATATGTTGAAATGTTGACAGGAGAGTTTGAAGAGCAAATAGTCAAAGAGCATGGAAGAAGAAGCTGTGGCCAGTACTGGAGTCAGACTGAGATGGGAGTGGGATATGTGGGTTGCTTTTTGTGCTTTTGTCAAATAATATAGGTTGCAAACGTATAAAACTGCTGCTGACTTTCTGTATTATGTTCTTAACTTCAGTGAAGTAGATTATATGTGATGTTTTCTATACCTGACAAAGGAATACATATTTTTTTAAAGTATAATATGTCTTTAAGTTTTATGCCATTTTATGACTATAATAAAAGTTGTGAAATGGGACTTAAGTGTAGTATTTCATTTTAACATTTCCGGTTACCAGATTGCTTTTAGTATTTTTTATGGCTATCTGAATCAAAACCTTCTTATTAAGAGTCAATTCTTAGTGAGCCTTATGTATCTAGTCCCCACTTAGGGTGTTCAGTGGTTATTAATTTGTAAGAAATAAATTAGAGACAGTTTCCTCTATTTTCTTTGATATTTTTCAAAAGGCAGGAAAGAATTTCACACTTTTCTTAGTGCCTTGGAGTTGTGGCTGATAAACTGAAGAGCATGTAGAATTTGGAAATCAGTCTGCTGCTCTGACATAGCATTCCTGGTGGCCTGCTTTGCTGTAAAATTTGAAGTCTGCCTTTGCATAAGATGAAATTTTGTCACGGTGTCCCATGATTTGGAGAGTTTCCTGAACCAGTGTTCATATAAAATTGTCCTCTTGACCAAAGAAATAAAAGCAAAGGTTGACCACGTGGATGCCATTGCAAGTTTCACAGTAATAACATCTTTTTCATATCTTGGCATCACTTCCATCCTTTCAGTGCTCTTTCAGATTTGGATTTAGAAGCAGGAGCTGGTGTTCACTTCTCTTCCATGGAGAATCCAGGTGATCTGGGAGCTTTCTCATGTGGAGAGACTTGGGGTAGCCTGGTGGATACCCTCTGGCTTGTGCGTGGTGCACGCCTGTCATGGGAAGAGGTATTTGATACTTTTCACCTGGAAAACTGTCATTCTCTTTCATCTGACTACTGCTAAGGTCAGTGATTTCTTGGTGGGTTGTTTTTTCCTTTGCCTGTGTACATACTGGTTTTAGACCTTTACTGTATTTTCCAGATTCAGAATCTTATGAGATGTGGCATCAGTACTCTCAGTGCTTCTGCCATGTTTCCTATGCCAATTATCTCTGTGTTATCAAATCTATGATTGCATGTAGCTAGTCAGATGGCTGTCTTAATAACTGTGCTTGTCTGCCAGTTGAAGTCTTTATTTACAACTGTTTGGACACAGCAGGAAATAATATCTGAGTCATAGGGGTCACACCAGGCAGTATGTGCCAGTCACATGTATGTGCCAGTCTCCTCAGGTACATTGCACAGTAAACTCCATCGAAGTGATGAAACTTTGTATAAATACATGATGTGCAAATAGGTTTATAAGTTTCAGTTTGGTAACATGCCTTTGATGTTCAAAATGTGTTATTAATTGAATCCCTACTGAAATTTCTTGTCAGACTACAGCAATTCTTATTAGTTGTAACTCAGATTGAGAAGTTGAAATTGCTGTAGGAGTGGGGTAAATCTCTAACATGTGCAACAGTTTATTCCTTACACTGAGTACACTGGCCTGGGAACTGAGCAGGGCATGTTTCTGTTAATGCTCTCAGAGCTGGAGATGCTGTAGAAGTTTTGTGTATGTCTGCCTCGTGGATACCTTCCTAATGAGTACAGGTTAGTGACAGCCAGTGCGGGATTAGATCTCTAAATGAGAAAATAGCCAGACACAGTAGAAGGAGAGCCAGTAATGGAGCATGGTATGGTAACCATGGCAGTAGTGGATCAAGGGTTGGACTTGATTATCTCAGAGATCCTTTCCAACCTAGCTGATTCTGTGATTCTGTGATTTACAGAATTGTCAGCTTAAAACATAGTTCAGGTTTCCATCTAGTGGTGGTATAAAATTCTGTCCAAGCCATGAGGGACAGCATGTGCATAACCACACTGGGCTATGTTCTGTTGTACTTGTGTATGTGTTTGAAACTTAGGGAATCAAAAGCCTTTATTATGTATAATTATATACGTAATGGCACATAATTCTCAGGGCCTCTGGATTTTTTTTAGTTTGAGCTGCAATGATCAGGAATCTGTTATTTTGTGCATTCAGATCCCTGAGTACTCTTTGAATTTAACAGTGTATCATATTTACTGCAAATTAGCATGATTCCTCTTTCTCAGTATTGCTTAACAGCCATTTAAAAAACTTTACCTTGATACAGGTTACAGAAAGAAAATGGGTGTCTTAAAATGTCTTTAAGTTGTATGGGTGCAAGTATGGGATTTTGTTAGATTTATTGCTTCCTCTTACATGTAAACAAAAAAAAAAAAGAAAGAGGAGGAGATGGGTATTCTGTTTATTTTGCCCTCAGTGTTACAGCACAGTCTATTTTTAGTATTTAAAGTACTTTACGGTAGAATTGAAAGAACCTTACCAGGCTAGGTTTTCATATGAAGATATCAAGGTTTGAACTATGTTGCATTTTAAGACAATGTAGTGGGTCAAACAGACAAACTGAATACAAATTGGAATTGCAAATTTATAAGGATTTCTGCTTGTTTGTATTTTATTGACACCTTCCTTCTAGCATTTGTTTGCTACTTGTGTGAATATTGTCAGCATGTAGTGTTTTGTAAGCATGGTAGGTTTTACTGTGTTGTCAGTGCATTTCTACTATCAACACTTTAAACACTGCCAACTTTCTACAAGTGCTGTCAAGTACCACATTTTATAATTACTGCAATAATATTATGAGTGCTGTAATTGCATGCACTGTATAGATGTACCTTTCTGTCCTCTGTAGACACAAAATTGATATTTTCTGCAAGTTAAAATGGCATCTGGAGCGCATCTGAATAATTGTTTGGAAACTGTTTTTTTTTTTTTTTCTTCTTCTTTCAGCATAAAGTGAGGAGCCTGAACAAGTAGGAGTTATGCATATGGGAGGATTTTTAAAGCCCCAGATTTGTATATATACAGCTATACTTAAGACATACTGATGTGTACACACTGAGGGGTGAAAGGGTTTTTATTCAGTGCAGTATTCAGTTGTTTAATCAGAGGTCATTTTTTTCAAGAAGTTGAGCCTCACATTTTGACTTCCTAATCTTGTATTTAGCAGCATCTTTATCAATCTCCATGTTGTTTTATCTGTCTTTTGTAATGCCGAGGGCTTTGGCTGTTTTAAGGCTGACTGTATTTACCACATAGATCTTACAAGCGATATCCTGCTGTTTATGCAGCTCACTCCTGGCAATCCATCGAGCAGAAAATTTCTGCTGAAATATTTTTTTTCTATGTCTCAATTCCAAACTACATTTCTGAAGGATATAATTTGGAAAACATATTTAATCATAATATCTGCTAAAATGTTTGAATTTATAGCTATTAAAGGTCAATTCCAGAAGTAATGTTAAGTAATGAGGTATTTCTAATGAACAAATTAGAAATGATACTAGAAGCAGAGCTACTGAGTGTAGGATTTTAGCCTTACTGATATGTGGGGAGTTTGAGTCCTGTTAATGTGCTGCTTTTTGTTGTTTCAGGGATATTAGTGAGAGACAGAGTCTGAGGTAAAAGAGAGCACGATGCATTTTTTTCCTCACTGCAGTAACTAGCTACATTGGTAGAATACCTTCTAAATTGATCTTGCACCCGTATTTCAAGACTGGTTAACAACAGACCCTTAGATGTAGATGCATCTTCCCTCCCTCTCTGGGAATTACTGAATGATGTCAAATTGACAAACTAGTTTTATGTGATTTCATAGTATTTTTTTTCTTCTTGCTGAGCTATTCTATTTCCTAATTTATAGGAAATGAACATTAGGTCACTGCAGCATTCTCTTTTTTTCTTTTCTTTTTTTTTTTTCCTTCCTGAACCTAGTGGAAGGGCTTGAATTTAAGTCCCCATCACTACTGCTTTTTTGGAGATGTCATGGCTAAAGGTATTGAATTGCTTTGGTTGTTTTGATATCTGCATGGAATGAACCAGGGCAATTGGTTTATTTTTTGTGGGCCATCGAATGCCATTTACTTATAATCAGTTTCTTGCTTCTTTTGATTACATAGTGGAAGCATGGGGTCTTTGTAATTGAGTTGAGTAAGAGGTACATTAGTGATCCTTGATACTTCATCACCTTCTAACTGAAGCCTGTAATGCCCTTACATGTACTCACAGCTGATTTTTGACTCGAAAAAAGAGCACTGTTCGTAAGTTTGCAGTTTTTGAAGTGTACACATGATGGCAGCAAATATTTAAATAGAGAAGGCTCATTCATGTGCTAGAAACAAGTAGGATATCGAATTTTCTAATACAAACTATAATTCTCCCTGGTTCAATTGTTGTTAGTTATTTATTGAAATACATATTGAGAATTGTTAACTTACTGGTGGAGATTTTGAGAATGCTTTTCAGTTAAAAAAACTTCGCTGTAGTTTCCACCTGGTTTAGTCATAATGTTCTCATAATGTGCTTTGTAGTTTGGATTTGCATTGGGGTAGTTTGCTGCCCCAGTACTGAAACACAGCAGCAGGTACCCCAATAGTTAGCAGTGTTTGGCATGGCTATCCTTTAATTACCCTATCACAGGAAAAGGACACCTACAACACACTGTTATCGCTCAGAGGGCTGCCCTGGCACTTCTGGTTTCCTGGTGGTGCTGAATTTTGCTTTTCTGAAGCCTGTTTTGTTTTTTCTCTATTGGAGAAATATATCTGATCTTTCCTCAAGGAGGTGTTTTATAGTCTCTTTCATATTTCCTTTTTTAGAATGCTGATCTCTCATTTTGTGATGATTTTTACTCAAATTGCTTTTCACAATTGGATTTGTAGGTGAGTCAGACCTGCAATGGAGAACCAGCCCAAGATAACATACCTTGCACTAGCCTCCAGATATTTAAATATTAAAAAATACCATTATCACATTCTAGGAACTTTATAGACTGCCAGTGTGTGAAAGTTGTGGAATCTCCCTTTCAGGAGACATTCAAAACCCACCTGGACGCATTTCTGTGTTACCTGCTCTAGGTGAGCCTGCCTTGGCAGGGGGGCTGGATGAGCTGAACTCCAGAGGTCCCTTACAACCCTAACAATTCTGTGATTCTGTGAATCTACATTTTTCAACAGATGTTGGCATGGTAAAAGTTTCCTTTTTCCTGCAGTTGGAAAGTTCTTGGAGTCCTTCAAAGTGTTTTTCTCGTTGTCTTATGGTTAAATAGTCCAACATGATAGTTTTGCTTCATTCGCTCCTCTTCAGGCTCTTTTTCTGGCACATTATCACCTTAAATACTTTCTCCTTCCTATATTTCTTAATAGATATATAGTTTTGAAATACTGTATAGTATTTTGTTCTTTATTTTACTCCGAGGCAGTCTTTCTTTCCAAGTTCTCACCTTTTAATCTAGGGCAGTCATGTAAATTTTCCAGGAACCGTTCTCGACCCAAGGAAATATCCTTTGTGCCTAGGCTATGGCTTGGACTCCACGCTGAGTCACGTACAGCAGCTCCTTGGTTTCCACCTGTAGGCTTCTAATGTTGTGGGGCTGGAAGGGACTTGGGAAGTGCTGTGACCAGGTCCTCAGTATAGTGATGAGAACACCAGGGTTGAGTCTATGAGCATGACTTTTGTTCTTAAGTTCTGAAAGTCTAGTGATTGAATGATTGTTGGTGTTTCAATCAACATTGGATAATGGTAGTTGGATAACCTGATGTTTCTTTAGGTGCAGATCTGATGTCAAATGTCATATATTATGACAAAAATGACATTAAAGCACACCTTTGTTTGCTACTAGGGTATCAAGGAGGGAGATCATTGCCACAGTAGCTTTCTGCTCTGATTTCACCTGACTAACCTGGCAGCTGAGGGGAGTCATTATAAAATTCTGATCAGCCACAGTAGTGAAGCCCGCAGGAAACTATGCCCAGAGCAGATGGAGCCTTGGTATGTAGATACAAACCTCTCTTTTTTAAAATTGTTTGTTTTTTTTTTTTTTTCATAATGGATCTAATTGAGTTTTAAAGTGATTATATTTTTGGAAGTGTGTAGTAATAGCCCAGTATGTTGTGTTTTTTCTCACCAAATGAAAAACTGTATTGTTAGTAATACCACATTTTAGATGTTGCAAGGTATCTTCATATAGCATGGTGCTGTTTAGAGTAGGAAGTTTTCTGTAAAAGTGAAAATATAGTATAAACTATTATTTATTCCTGCTCTTATTCTTGGACATGGGTAAAACATTTGAACTGAGTCTCCTTTTATTTTTTCTGTCCCTTTCAGAATGGCATGTGTTGGTCATCCACAATGATATTTTAAGTTATAGGTTGCCACAGTTCCAGGAATAGCACCTAATGGAAAGTGTAGGTCAGCTTTAGGCTGTAGTATAAGCAGGTTGCTCTAAAATTAAGGATATTTTGGTTCATGTACAGTGACTTGTTCTGTATATTTACATCATTAAATTTCATTTAATGCTTAGAATTAGTATTAAGACATACAACAAATCACGATATTCAGTTGTTTTCTGGGCCTCTTGAATTTTTTAAACTGAGTTGATTGTTCGCAGTGAAGTACCCTAGCGAGCTATTTAGTGTCCATTACAGTGAGTCATAGTAAGAATTTATTTAAGAGGTCCATGATGTGAATGGTTTTAATTAAATAACAAACATGTATTTTGTCCTTCACTTCTGTTGCTGATTGAGTAGTGAAAAGAAATCTTACAGGCAGCACTAGCAATATTGTTCAGGTTCATGGGCAATTCAGTACCATCAGCATAACTGAAAGGAGTTACATTGTTGAGAAAAACATCATCATCCTATCAGTTAGGATGGAAGGGATAGTTGTTCAGTGAATAATGCAAACTCTGATTTGTCTTTTTTTTTTTAGCTTTTTAATTTTATCTGTGAATCTGATTTTTGTGGAGTACCTGTCTGGCAGCACGTGCCACTCCTCAGTAGCAGACTAGTTTCCCAGACTTGACCAGACAGAGGAAAATAGTTGTGGTACACCTTTGTTTTTAGAAACATTGATGGCAGTTTACCTGGGATTGTCTTTGTTTTCCTCAACAAGAACAATCTATGCTATAAACTATTAAATATTTATATTTTACAAGGGACCTGTGTAAAGGTTTAATTCCTGCTGTTGCATTAAACCCCAGGACTGCAAAAATGGTAGTATGTAAGGTAAGGTGCCTTTGTTCTTCAAAGTTTTGTGTGGAGCAGTATTTCAGTTGAATAGAACATGGCCCAGAAATCTTCTAGTACTCAGGGAGCTTCGCTATGGAAGGTGGAAAGGTGTCTATATTGGAATTTCTGAAAAGGTGTAATGAGAAAGACTTAGAAGCTGAAATCTCAGTGACTTGCAATAGATCAAGTCCTTATAAAGCTTTTCCACATAGTGAAATACAAATGGCCTAGTTGTAAGTGCTAGAAGGAACTGAGAAGCTGTGCAGTGAGAATAAACAGGGAAATCTTGGTACGGATATTCTGTTGTTTGTTTTTTCTAAATTTTGATAAGACATTATCCAGTAGTTAGGTGTCCTGGGGCTGTCTCTAAACTTTAAATGGGCATCTTTGTAGCTGCTGGAGTCGTGTATATGAGCAAGACCTGGCTTGGCCTCTGTAGACACCTACAGTAGAAGACTATTTTGATAATTGGTAAATATGGTTAGACCTGCAGACCCTGGACTGAGGTGATGGATGTCATTTTCAGCCCCGACACCTTTCATCTGTATGAATCCAGTGTGCCAGTAATATTCCTGATACGACTAGTGAGTTGTTGATTTTTCACGGACAACTACTTGTGTGTGTTTTTCTAAAGGGTTTAGTTTTATGTTCCTGGTGACAGAAGATCTGTTATGTGTATGTGTGTGTGTGTAGATATATATATCTATCTATACATACACACACACATATATATTCCACCTCCACAACTTTAAAAATAACTCAGACTACTTTCTTGTGGCTGGTGGGAAACCTGTGAAGATCTGGGGATGCTATTTGAGTCCTGGAGGATTAACTGTGAAAAAAGCCATCTGTGCCAGTGTCAGTGCATTCCTGCATGTTTCCTAGGAGAACCCCTCTTGGGGTTCTGTAGTTTGGGTTTCATCAGCTCTTCCTAGGAAATTTTGTATTCTAAGTTTTGTTTTATTTGCATCATTTTCAGGAAGAAGTGTTTCTGTCTTCTTTTGGCATTACAACAAACTTGCTTTTCTTAAGGACATTTTCTGTAGCACTGATTAGTATTGACTATCCAGTGTTAACTGGTGTTTCACAAACTTAATTGACTGTATGTTAACTCCTTCCAACCCACTGAAATTGTTTTTTTTCTGTATTCATGTATGTATAGGTGTGCAGCATACCTGTATGGTGTATTTCAGGGGTTTGGCACCATCTACTTCATTGAGTGTTTAATGACCCTGCAGCAAAGCATGGTGAAATCATATGGTGATTTCAGTGGATTCTTCTGAAATTGCAAGTGTGCTGGACAGTGTTCTCAGAGGACAGCAGCCGTAGGTGAAGTCTTTCAGTTTTTTACTGAAGTGTGAGGTTAAGTAATTCATGTATCAGAGTGTTTGGTTAAGAGGAAGGAGTCTGAATTTTGCAGTTGAAGAACTTAACCATTTATCTGTTTGCATTGAAGCAAACCTTTGTATTAACTCTGCTTGACAACATATTGATAAATCCCACCCCTTTGTGTACTGTGCTGTATGACGTCTTCATAGACGGTGTAATAAGGTTTTGGAAAAAATTGTCCCACTACAAAAACTACACATCACAGAGGAGATACTAAGCCAAAAGCGAGCAGTGTATGAAATGAGCATTTGGCTTGAGAATACACCTCTTGCAGAGCGTGCTGAATTGGATGTGCCTGGTGCTCCTTTGCAACTGGCAGCGGAACAACCCATTTCCATACTGTTACATTCTTATGCTCCAAAGCAGGGTGGCCACATCCAAACTGCCTGCTGGGAGCAATCCCCAATCTGTGCCAGCTCACCAGCAGAACCTGCAAGTTGTTTCTCATCAAGATGGTTATCCAGGATCAAAGCCTGTGCCAAGGACCGTGGCATCACGTTCCCAGGGTGGGTGATTGAGATGTGGTACCTTCTCAAATCATTCCCTGACACTGCTTTAAGTCGTTACTGCAGACAGAGCTCTGACTCCCCAGCTGTCAAGTGCAAGTGCTGCTTTTGTTCTGGTTCTTTCTCACATGCATTATCAGATTTTCATCAACCGTTAGATTTGTTGAACTTTCTCCAAATCAAGAGTCGTCATCTCTGGAACCTCTGTGGAGATTGAGCTGTTTCGAGAAACAAGCTCTGAATTCTCTAGTGCTATTCTGTTGATTGTGTGGTAAAATAAGGGAAGACTCTCTAGGCTTTAATGAAATTCCATGTTAGAGGTGGATGCCATGTCTGTACAGCAGCAGTTGTGAATGTTCTGCTCTGAGCAGGTGGAAAATACATTCCTGGAAGGAAAATGAAAGCACCCTTGCCCTCTTTCTAAACAGGAGGGGTTGTCAGATGTGTCGTGTTACTCTGTATCATAGGTCTGGAAATTTGAATACTAACATTTCCAATTAATTTCAAAGAGAGTATTTACTGCTATTAGCCCTTTGAGTGTCCTCTTGAAAACAGTTCAGCTGTTGTTCATACTCGTACTTTGCATTAATAAGACAAGGACACTTTCTCATCGTTCCTTTTTACTGATCCACTTCTGAAATGCGATGGGCCAAGTTTAAACTCTCGTGGGCCACAGAAGATGAAACTGACATTGGGACGTTTGTTGTGCGTGGTGTCTCTGAGAGGGTGTTGCGTGGGTGAAGAGCAGCATGAAGAAGCCTGGTTAAACTTGCATGGGTGGTGGTGGGTGTAGAGGAACTCCTGAGTTCCCTGGAAAAACTAGAGCTACTGTCATCTTACACAATACCTCAAGGACAAGCAGACAGAAAATATACTTTGTTTCTCTTTGGCTTAATGCCAGTTTGTGTATTAGAGTATTTCTAATTTATGCTTTGTTGTTGAGTCTAATTTGGTGAACTGTTAAGATGTATTGCTTCTAAGTTTTGATCAGGTATTTTTTGAGGTACTGCTGCATGATATGTATTGTGTTTCAAGTGGAAAGGAGGTTTTGTTCTTCTTTGCTCTTGCATGTGGAATGAGTAAAGATTCAATTACTTTTATTTAGTGAGGAAAATTATAAATACAGTCTGTTTCTTTTCTGAGAGATAGCTGCCAATGAAGTTTTGTGTTTGTTATGAAAGAATAGCATAGAAACCAACTCATGCATGGGGTCAGTAAAGCTCATGTTCCAGTACAGTATAAATAAATCATCTGATTATTGGATGATGACAATATTCTACTACTAATCTCTTAAGGTTGTGAACTTGTCTTAGTGAACTTTGTAGTTGGTTTAATTGTTTCTAAACAGTTGCTTTGGGGGAAGAACTCTTTAATATAATATGATATATTCAGTATATTTCAACATTTGAAAAATCTTAGATCTGGTAATCCTCAAAACATAATGTCAGGTCTTATCAATAACCTGATATTTGTATTTTAAATGTTTTTAACTTGGGAGTAGTCATTAAAATGTAGTGTGGGCGAATCTTGGCTTTTTAATGAGTAAAGTACTAAAGCAGAGATGGCCTGGAAGACCTTGACTGGAAGGGGCCTCTGGATTCCCCTACTCAGAGCAGGACCATTTTAAATCAGTTGTTTGTGGCCTCATCTGGTCACAAACTCTTTTGAATTTTGCTCTTTCATGTTAGAGAATGTAGAGAAAAGATTTTACTTAAATTTTTGTATTAGCTGAGAAGATTCCCAAAATTTCTCATGTTCAAACAAAACTAATTACATTTCTGAAAGTCAGTTGTAACCTAAATCATAATTCACAGCTAAATGGTACTGAAGTACAAGTGCTAACTCAGCACTGTGAAAGTTATCACTGACACAGGTTGGTATCCTAAGACAGTACATCTAATCACTGGCTTTCAATCCAAGAGTACCGTGTCTCAAAAAATTGAAAACCATGCTCTGTTGGGTTTTACCTGGTAATTTATTAAGTTTATATATAAATCTAATTGTGTAGGTGTGATGTTGGTGGTGTTTTTATGTTTCAACAATATGTTTAGTACACTTTAGTTTGGTTTATCTGTTTTTATGTTGAGGCACAAGTCAGCCATATAAATTGCCTATGTGGTTGAAATGAGGATTAATGTTCTAGGCAGTGTGGAGCGTAACTGGGATGGAAAAACTTTTACAGCAATTAGCAAGAGCCTGGAAACTGGTGTTATACTGATGTGAATGCTGTCGACATCATTATTAATTTTTATTGTATTGTTTTTAATGGATCGTTTGTGTACTTATTTGCACAAATACACACTTTTAATGCACAGCAACAAGTGGGAATAAATTAAGCATATGAGTTTGTGTTTTGTCAAAGGATTTTTCCTTTGAAATCAATTCCATGGTATCCAAAAGACTTAGTTCCAGTCTTTCATGGCATTAAAATTTTAGGATGTAATAGCTAGATTGATTTCTAACAGTTTCACTTGAATTTATTTAGTAGTCTAGCAGAAAGCATGCAGCAGTGTGCAGTGGATTTAATTGCAGTATGGATGAGCACTTTTAAATTCGTTTTATTTGACTTAGTCTTTTTTTTTTCACCTTCAGATGTTCAATTCTGTTGTGTGAGATGGAGTTCTCATGACCCCTTGTACTATTTAGCATATCCCATTTGTTGATTAAAGCTTTCGCTACAGTGGTACATCTATCACTGACAATTTGCCAAGTTACTTGCCAAAGGTTTCCTTTTTCCTGACTAATGAGACTTTCTTTTGTTTATTTTGCTTTGTGATAAGATAGATTGTAGGCAGCATTGTTGAGGGAAGGTAGATTCCAAAAAATAAATAGATATGATAATTTTGACAGGAGTTGTGGCAGAACTTTCCCAAGGAAATTCTCTACCCACCTCACGGAATAAAGCATGACCAAGCTGGGTTCTGCAAAGGAAAATGTTTTGCAAAGCTGTTATTTATAAAATCACTGCTATAGAGAATATAGCAGAGTCCAGTGAAGATGAGGAGATCTGTTGTGTTCTTGTCATAAATAAATACAGTAGAATACAAATGATCCCATCAGTTCTCACCACTGGTGTACAGTCTTGTTTTCTTTCTTTCTTTCAAGAAATTAAAAATTCATATTAAATTGTTATGTTTTCACGTAAGGAGGTAAGTTACATTTTGTTCTGGTTTTCTAGGGCAGCAGTTGGTAGTAAAGACTAGTTGTGCACTATAGCAGCTTGTGGACTTTTGGGTTGAATTTACTGTAGTGCACATGCCTGCAGATCAGAGATCCACCGGGAAGCCCAGCACACTCAGGGCACCAAAGCAGTGCTTGGCCATGGCCTTGGGACCAACCTGTGCAGGTGCTTTCAGTGTCCAGCCCAGAGGGACAGCTCAGCAAGCAGCCCACAAGTGGGTTTTGTGTAAATAACTGTTTAGTCTTCCCATCTTTTCTGTGATAGAAATGATGCCCATCCTGGGATGGTAGAGGAACCCTCACAATCTGTGGCCTTCCTGTGCAGAGCCAGTGCTCAGAGCCCTGACCTGCAGCGTCTGCATGCTGTGCTCACCTTCTGCATTTTCATGGTACTGGTGAGCGGGAGAAGTTTCTGCTACATTACTGAACAGATTTAGTTGGGCTGGGCTAAGCTCCGCCTTGGACTGGTGGCTTCACAAATGACTTCTTTGCAAAGGCGTGTGAAACTCTGTGCAGGACAGCAAAGCTTACTAACCCTTCAAGATGAAAATAAACCCCTGGTCACAAAGACCCCATAATTTACCATTCAGTGTGATTCATGAGGTTCTGCCCTGCTTGTGGATAGATTTACACAAGACTTTCTTTTCTGTATTTTAATTGGCTAGCAAGCAAAATCCATTAAGATGTATAAACAACTCAAAAATAATTCAAGTTTTTATTGTTGATATAGTATTGCATTGTTTTAAGTAAGTCCAAAGTAATTTTAAAGCTGTACAAATGTAAGTTGAAGATAATTCTTTAGTGTTGAAAAATTTTGAAATGCAAATGAAACCTGAATAGTTTTAGTATTCTCTTGACTGGTAGAAACCTTATTTATTCACATCATCAGTAGATGGCAAGCAGAGTTTTTTCTAGAACTTATTATATAGTCAATTGGAAAAGTCTTCTCATACACAATAGAAAAAGAACTTGTTTCTCTTAATGCAGTATAAGCAGACAATGCAGCAGTTTGACATTGATGCTAATGATCAAAGCATCTTTATATTAGTGTGGAGAGATCAGCTGAGCAGATGTGGCTGTACCACACCAAAATGATTAAATGATACCACTTAACTCAGAGTAGAGGTAGTTTATCTCGGGCGTTTTTGACGCACAAGTAGAACTAGTATGTGACGCTTCCCATTTGTGATACCTTCTCTACAGGCAGGTTGCTTCTGCTACAAATTTTAATGGTTTAGCTCTAAGTGAAAACACTTGGCACTTGGCTGTGGAAGCACCTGCAAGGCTGGCCACCAGACCGCAGAGCTAAACTGGCTTGACCAATCTGACCGTGGTGCATCTGCATTTCTGAAAGGTTGCCCTGGTATTGTCCTGATTCTGGTGAAATCTTAGGGTTTTGTTAACCAAGTATTCATTTCAAAGTGAGGTACATAAAGCTCTAAGCTATTTGACTTCTTTGATTTCCATCCCTGTATTTCTCCCCTGCCCTGTTTTCCCCATCATTTGCTAATTCAAAGCAAGCACCCTTTAATAATGAGAAAACCTCCAACAATAGCAGAAACAAAAAAGAAGGAACAGAACAAGATTTAGGTAAGTTAATTTTGAAGAATTTGTTGTATAGAGATTACAGTAGAATGTGTTCAGGCTTGAATTTGATACGTATTTGATCTCCCCAAGAACAATATAGAATACCTAATGGAATTTTCCAGAAGTGCTTTCAGATTAGCTGTTTCTATAGTACTTCATTGAATTTTGAAAGTTGTTCAGCAGGTGACTGAGTTTTCCCTTTTTCCTTTTGTGCTTAATCCCTCCAGTCTTCTGTGACAGCCCAGCCCTCACTTGCTGTATTATGATAGATGCTATAAAAATCCTCTTAAATGTCAGAACCATTGGATAAAGGAATAAATAGTGACTTGCAGATGATTACAAAAGTTTTAGGGCTTTTCAGGTTTGATGGCTCTGATGTAGTCAGTAAAAATGGATGCTCCTTTTTAGCAGCTCTTGGAATACTGATAATGTATTTGTTATCTTCAGTCAAGTTCTGTGGCTATTTCTGAAGTAGTTCAGAGATTGTATAAAAATCTACAAGTTAAAAACCTTTGGTAAGATACATAATTTGTTGGCTTTAGGCACTTAAGAAAGTGCCTAAGATACTTAGGCACTTAAGTGCTAAAAAAATAAGCACAATTTTAGAATTATGTTTGTAATGGGAACTTTTAATTTCTTTGACCTTATTTTGTCTGCAGTTACTCTGCAGTCCTCTGCAGTTCAGAGGACTTTCTGGCTCCATGGGTTATATCTCAATATTTTAGGAAAATAAACCAGAGTAAGGAACTTTCTGTTGTAATTTTGAGAGCAATAAAACTAAAGAAGAAGGAAATGCTCTAACTAGTTCTATTGTTTGGAGGACATGGAAGACTTTTTAAATGGTGTATGTCATTGATTTCACCTGACAGAGGTACTTTTATGTGTATATGAAGCATATGTGTGGTCTAAAACTTGAACGTCATTTAACGTTATTTTGCCGTAGCAACAAGAACTTTAAAGATTTGCAGTAAGTCTAGCACAGAGACTAGTGAGTTAATCTTTTTTGCCTTTTGTTAAGTACTGTGGAGGAGATGTTAATTGCAGTAACAAGCCCTCTTTCCAGAAAGTGAGTTTACAGATATAAACCAGTATGTTGTTAATTATCTTAAGGAAAATGTCAGTTATATCAGTATGCATTTCTTTTCATAGGGATGTCCTATTGCTGCTTTTTAAAAGCAAGAACTGAATTGTAACCAAATGATTGTGACCAAATACACTTATTTCTACAGAGTAGTGTTTTCAAAAGTTTCAGACTGAATGTCCTACTCAGATAAGTAACACCCTTATAAAAATTCACCGGTGTTTCCCAGTGGCAATATTTTTTTACTTTTTTATCATGGGTCCACCAGTGTGTAGGCTTTCTTTTATTGATGGCCAGTCTTCTATGTAGTGCTCTGTAAAGAGCACACCTCAAAATGTTTGTGCCTTGTTGAAGAAGCAGGTAGATAAACTTCAACGACTCCTTGTTTGTCTTTCTTAAATGCCTCTACAAGCAGTCAGGTAGGGTCTCTCCCCTATTACTGGAAGGATCATGGTAATACTGGCCAAGAAATGAGCCTTTGACTCAGTGTTTTCTTTTGCCAAATTCCATGTATTGTATTGGAACAGGTGATGTAGAGTATGTTCATTTAAAAATGGAGAAGTTTCTGTCTGTTAATCCTAAGAGATGGATCTGACTTTTACACTAATGACCTTCTGATGCATTTATTAACTATTGCACGTGACTTTTTACTTAATTCATCCAAGAACATATTTCTTCTACAGGCCCATTAAAGTAAAAAATTTCATGCACTCTCAGCAGAAAGGTTATTGTGGTGTCATGGAAATCAATACAAGATGCCTATTAGTGGATTAATTTTTTATTTATACTTGAGTTTTTCTTTGTTACTTTGTTAGTTTAAGGTTTTGGGTCTATTGAGCATCTAGAAATGTGAGTAATGGAAAAATAAGAATACCGAGTCTCTCTTGGGTATATATGTACACTTGAAATGCTTCATTAGGTATAAATTGAGTAGAAGAACATGCGTGGAAGTCTTTCAAGTGTCATCATCTGGGATATATAATCATTTGAATGTTCTTAGTTAGTATCTAGCAGTCTGGAAACTAATGTGGTTGTCTTGGAAACAGGTTTTATTTTCCTTTTGTGAATATCTAGATATGAAGTCCTTGTCTTCCTTGACAATCTAGAAGTAATGCTTCTGAAAAAAATAACTGCAAATTTAAGATGCTTGTTCTCTATTTAAAGCATCGATACAGAAGTCTGTAACAGAGATGTTTGCATTGTGAGCTTTAATTATGATTGTCTGATTATGTTGCTAAAACAGTCTTTAGGGTTTCTTTAGGTAAAATGCCTGTACTTAGTCTGGGAATTATCTGCAGGATATTTGTCTGGGAATTATCTGCAGTAAAACACTTTCCCAAGATTTCCTAGCTCAATATTTAAATAGAAATATTGCAGTATAACTGATGCATTGTGGAAGTTCCTAAAAATAAAGTGATATTATCACTTCCAGTCTTTTCCTTTGCCTTGCTTTAAGTTAACAGTATGTGATAAATACTTGGATATTTTGTGAGATAATAAGCATAATATTTACCAGACAAGACATCAGCTGTAGACAAAAGTGCACAGAACAGCTTTTTTTTATTAGCCGAAGAACTGCCACTCAAAGCATAAAATGTCAAAGCAAAATAGAAACTGAGTCAAGAAATTACCATCTTTCAAGTTGCTGAGAGTTTATTAGGATTTGTATGAAAATATAAAACAGTGTTCTTGAAATTTAACTTTTCTGGTCTGTAGGTTATTTGTTTGGTCACAGTAGTCTTAGAGTTTGGTATTAGCAACAGTGTAATTTTATCATAATTTTTACAGATGAGGGTCCAGTCTGAATAATTTTCAATCTTTTGATCTTAAATTAAGTATAGTCTAATGGGGTTTTTAATATACTTCTCTTCCAACTCTCTTTGTCTCCAATACCAGTTTAAAAAGCTTTTAAATACTGATATGTACTTCAGAGAAGAATTTTTTTAAAATTCTTTCATAAAATAAGTCTTTTTTTTTTTTTTTTTTCCAGTGGAGCTCACACTTTGAATGATACAAGCTGTCCAAGGATACAGAACCATGATGAGATCTTGTTGAGCCATTGGCACCCCTTTGGGTGACCATTTCTTTCATTCTGCCTCCCATATCGTCCTCCTTTCTTGTGCTGCGCCTACATTTCAGATTGATCTCTCTTTTCAGGACTTAATTGACCATTTTGTTTTTGTTTAAATGTTGGTTTTCCCTCAAGTATGTTCCAATTTTTTTTCCTTTCTTATTCCCTAAAATAAGCTCAAGGTTTTTATTTAAGACCTGAGATGAAGCTTATTAACCCAAGTGAAGAGAATCTTAAAGACTATGGCTGTTATCACATGAAGCAAAAAGCTTTTAGTGACCTGTGTTTTGGCCCTGATGTACAATACTGGTGTAAGTATTGTGCATCCAGAAAGAAAGAAATAATCACAGCTTGTTTTTCAACAAATGATAGTAGCCTCTGATGTACTCTAATGGTGTTGTGTTCCATTTTGGACTTTAATAGCATTTATATATGCTTACCTTGATGGTCAGGCCATAAACTTCCCACTTTCACCTCAAATTATGATCTCATAAGCCTTACATTAAAAAAGAACATTAAAATACCATGTTATTTAAAGTATAAACAAAGCTGAGTTAGTCCTTGAGCTTTTTTCACATTCCTCTAAATAAATGTCATTTCTTCCAGTTTAACAATATTAGTTAACTGTGTTCAAAAAAAAAACCAGTCCATTTTATACCTTCCTGATCAAATAATAATTCTCCATGCTGATTACTAAATATTACATAATTATATTCCCTGGCTCCGTTTTAGCTTAACAATTTTTCATTCTCTTCTACCAAACTGCGAACAAGCAAGCAACCAAAAAAAAACACCAAACCTCTTATGATAACAGTTCTGTATAGTTACACTGTGTGCATCATTGTGTTACTGTGATCTGTTCCCTGAAATTTGGTTGATAATCACACATTCCTTCCTGAATATCCTGGGGAAAACATGATATTGTTAAAGTTCTCCTGTTTTTCTTTCAGATTAACTTTTAGTTAACTGAAGTTTTCTGGTTGTTCCCTTTCTTTATGATCCAGTGATGTTCTTTGGATAAATCTGTTTTACCTCTGTGCATTGTTAGAAATGGTGACAGGGTCTGCCATCCCCAGAAATTAAAATATATGTAAGGCATAGTTATTTCTAAGGATAAAGAGGAAAACTGCAACTTCCTTTTTCATCATGTGTTTCACTTCAGGATGTTAGTGAGTCTGATTTCAGCAGCATTAGGAAAAGACAAAACTCCAGGGGCAAGACTGTAGGTTCACTCAAGGAGAAACGGTATTTTTGTTGCCTTGTGTAATTAAAAAAGCACAAAACAAAATAACTAATGAACATTTTCCTTTTACTATGAGCAAGGAAGTTACTGAAGACAGTCATCTACAGCCAGGGACACAAAGAGAGACATGTAGTTGCTTTCACAGTGATGAGACCCATGTCTCTGGAGGACAGTGTATCCAGTCATCACATCATGTTTAAGACACAAGTTCTCTCTCCAGTTCTCAGCACAAAGACAACCTGCATCTCTAGCTGCACTTACACATGTGACACGTAGATGAAGGCAGTCCCACTGAAAGTGCAAGACTGTTCCTGTGGCTTGAAGTGGCCTCTGCAAAGTTGGCCCTTCCATCTAATAATGGACTGAAATACAAAACAGCTTATCCAAGCTGCTCTTCACACAACATGTTTTAGGGCTCCTTATTAATTGCAATTGTTTATATTTTTTAGAAAAGAGAGGAATTTATTTCACCTGTGTTGTTTTTCTTTGGAGTTTGGAGGTGCATCCTATAGTGAGATGGGTTCTCCATACTAATAATCTTAAAGGATACTTGAGGAACCAGTTTGGCATTTGGCAAACAGTGTCATTTTTGTACCTTCTTGCTCTGCGTTTGCTTAAATGAACTCTCTGTGCTGCTCTGCTGTTGCTGTTTTTCCTGCCTTTTCTGGAGTACCACTGTAGTGGCTGCCTCAGCAGAGGGGCAGGAGCAGTGGCTGTAAGTTACCAACTCTGATTTAGTGCCGTTTGGGGATTTTTTTTTCCCTTTAGGTATTCCTCAACTGCCCTGCTCGAAAAGTAGTAGTGCACAGGGAACTCATATTGTCAGGAATGCAATTTTGACTATTGCTAGATTAGGAAAAAATATTTAAAAAATTATTTTTCATATAGTCTGAAATTCTAAAAATTTTATATGAAAATGTACTTTCCTTTAATTTCTGAGAAGAGTGCTTTTTTAAGTAAGCATGAATAATGTTTCAGCATTAATAAAAATACTCTTTCTGATACCCTTTCTGATTCTTATTTATAGTTTTTTTTTTCTTAGTTTTCTTACGACTGCTCTTATGACTTAAAGCTACTCAGTCTGGTTTTTAAGTGTTTTGGCTTGTGAATAAAATGTATACGAATAAAACAGGCATTTAATATGTTGTATCCTAACTTCTGCTTAACAGAACCCTTCTACTATTAATGAACAGTACCAAGGGTGGCTGAAGTTTGAAATGTAGCGGAAATGACAGATTTTGTAGCTTGTTTAAGGCATCTCATTCTTTACAACTAAGAGCTGTCAGAAGGTGGTAAAAAAATTTCAGAACAGCAGCATCTAAAACCAGACTGCTCTCATGAGATATAGGTAAATCATTCACAGGAGAGCTAATTATGTCTGTAGCCTATAGCATAGCCACTGTATCTGTCCATTAGCCACCCTGGGGCTTCACTCAGGCCAAAGAGCTTGTGTTTACAGTAGGTTTAATTTGAACAACAAAGGTTTGTGTGTGGATCTAAGGAGGACTGGAACGTTACTTAAGCAATACCTCAGGATAAGCTGTGGTGAACACAGGACATGAAGAGCATTTGCTTGCTTACCTCCGCTGTTGGAGCCTTTGTGGGCTGCAGCACTGTCTCAGGTCTCTGATTTGGCAGCCATGGCTACCTTACCCAAGCTACCCTGCTGAAGGGCTGTTCCATGACTTTCTTTAACAAGTCTGTGCTGGGAAGACCTTTCTGGTTTTGAAAATAGAGCGCTTTGTTTTACTTTGCACAGCTCTGCTACTCTGAGATATTCAAGATGTTGTTGATGGAATGTGTGTGGTGATGTTGTTAATGAAGGAGATGCTAGAACAAAACACGAGGAAAAACATTTGTTTCTATAATA